GTTAAAAATCTTGAGTTTTGGATACTCATAATCGATAAAATTAACCCTCTAATGGGAAGGTCCTGGTCGAATCTGACCGAAGTTATAGTTCTTCTTATGCTGTTCCCACTCTATTTTCTATTATCTTTTTTATTATTCTCGTTTTAAAATATTTTGTATTATTTCGTAAACTCTTTATACTTATATTATTATATGTTATATAACTCAGGTATTACTCCTTATTATATAAATAAACAAAAATACATGCTGAAAATAATAACTATTTTTACCCGTCTGACAATAGCAAAAAAGGACTAGGGTCGGATCCGACGCCGCCTTACCAACATTTCTATTTTTTTAACGTAATAAAACCATTAACTGATGAATAAAAAAATTGGAACACATGAACTTCGTGAATCGCAAGAAATCTTAAGACCCTTTAATTAAGGTATGTATTACAAATTTAGTTTGAACCAACAATTCTATCCATTAACAGAAAACTAAAAAACAGTCTAGGTATTTGTTTCTGAAATAAATTATTCTTTATAACTCCAAACGATTAACATACTCTACAAATGAATCAGCGAATCATAGAACAAAATTGATCCCGAATCATTTAAACACAGAGAAAAAGGATCTATAAATTAAATCTAAGTAATTGAACGTTTTCTAAACATTGACTAGCATGCAATTCCTAGTGAACGTACTTTTTTCCTTATGGTTAAATAATTAAATAAAGTATCGATCTCACGTGAAAACTCTAGCGAATCACAATATTAGAATAATCCGAATAACACGAACGCAGTCACGCGATCGCGATCGGGCGGCAGCTCACGCGACAACGTTCTTCCTTTTCCGATTCCCCGTTCTTTTGTTCTTTTTCCTCTAACCTGTTTCGCTCCAGCGGTTATCTCCGCTCGTTCGTTGCCCGATAGAACGCAATTTGCCAGGGACCGCGTGCTTCCGCTTCGACTTCGCGTCGTCACTTCCTCCACGCGATCATCCCTTCCGTCCACGCTCGCGTCGGAGCGTTCGAGATCCATTAAACTTTCGAAACGCGTGTCCATATGTGCACTCGATCTTTTCTTAACGTCGATAACGCAACACGTTTTGTAAACGCGAGACTGCATCGAAACCGGAAGTCTTCGAGGCTCGCGAAATTGGTATAACTTCAAGGCAGATAATTTTGTTTTCGTAGACTGTCGAGACACTGGAGTCAAATTGGTCAGTAGATCTCCTTACACTTTAATGTGACATTGCATTTGGTAAAAAAATAATGGTCAAAAATAATAGAATTTAGGGCATACATAGAGCTGCCGTCAGTCCAGGTTTCCCCAAATTTGTCCTATTTTTTTAGTTGCTGTGCAAACAAAGACGAGAATACTAATTAAAATTACATGAATGTAAACTTACCTTAATGTTATTCGACCGTTTCGAGCAAATTTGTTATCCGTTTGTCAAACAAACTCACGCCAAGATTACTCCGTCATTTTAATCATTTTAGTGGGATGAAACTGCCCGTTATCTCCGCGTCGTTCGAGTTTCTCTCGCGGCGCTCGTAAAAAATTCAATTTTTTCCATAAAGAAGGAAGGCACATACGGATATTACGAAAACATTCGCGGGGTCATCGTTTGAAACCACCAGGGTCCGTTCTAAAACTAGAGAAGAAAAATGTCCCGTGGGTGGGAATTTTTCCCTTCGCCCGTGGCGTGGTCTCCGTTGTAAAACAATGTAATTTCGTTTCCAAATTGCTTTTACCCGTCCGCGTTTATTACGAAGCGGCCCGTTTCAGTTGGTCGTAATTTGAAAATGCCGGCCGTGGTTCAGACTCCTCGCGATGCCTCGAAATATGTCGTGACGTCGTTCTTTTGGCTGCAAGTATGGCATCCGCTGCTCGAGATATCGACGTGACAAAGGTGACACGACGTGCGGATTCATATACAGGGTGTGCCAAAATAGCATCGACTCCCAGAAATGAGGGGTTCCTGGGTTGATTTGCAACAACTTTTTCCATAGCAAAAATGTTATCCGAGGCTTCGTTGACGAGATATGAACGAAAAACCCCGGCCAATCAGAGGGCGCGTTTGTCGGCCGAGCATCCGCGGTAGCGTTGGCTACCAATCGCAGCGCGTAACCAACGCTACCGCTGATGCTCGGCCAGCAGACACGCGCCATCTGATTGGCCGGGGTTTTTCGTTAATATCTCGTCAAGGAAGCCTCGGATAACATTTTTGCTAAGGAAAAAATTGTTTCAAATCATCCCAGGAACCCCTTGTTTCCGGGAGTCGAAGCTATTTTAGGACACCCTGTATATATTTACCGAAAGGGTGGGAAGGGGTGGGTGCGAGTTACGAGCACTGTCGTTCTCCGTTTCCGCGAAAAACACCGCCGGTTTCGTCATAATTTACGAGCTGAATTTCAAAATGTGCACATCTACATTTTTTAGCCAGGCCTGCCACCGTTTCCACCCGAAAAAACGTCGTTGGCCCGAGGCTTCACGCGCTGAAAAACGATAAGCAAACTCGAGGATCCTGGTATTTTCACTGCGATACAGCCACGACGTAACTCTGTTGGCCTGTTTGGAAATGTGTTTCTGTATTAAAAATAAATGTAAAAAAAATATGATTTCGTAGAGTTGAAAGAAAAAAGTCCGCAGACTTTTAACCGATAACTCAATATTAACCCTCTTAGTACTTACAAGCCGAAATATAAATTCTGATACAGAAAGTGACGAAAGTATAACACTTCCAATATTTTTTATTTACTACAAAATACACTTCATCAGGAAATATAAAAAAAAATTTTAGTAAATATCTTTACGAATATATATTTTCAAAGGTATTTCTAGATTTTGACCAGAAAACATGTATGATACTAAGAGGGTTAATAACAATGTGGAGTACATAACAAATTACTATCGACAATAAAATTAATTAAAATTGAGTCAATAAAGTAATTAAAATACAAGAAACGGAAATTTCAAGAGGGCCGTCATTTTGTTCCAGAAAGATGAGGACGAGTAGAATGGAAGCACGCTGTAGGACCAGCGAAAAAGCTTCCAAAAAGAGTGACTTCTCGCGTGGTCTGCTTAAGTACAATAGATATAATATATTTCATATAATAACGTAAACAAGATAGTGGTTTTTGTACAAATATCCCTTATATAAAAATCATGGTTGTCCGGCCGAGGCGCGTTACGTAATCCACGCGGTCATATCATCCCTTCCTCCTTCGTCACACACGCGCAATGGTCTGTGCTCTCGATACATACGCGTACCTTAAACCTAAGCGACAACTCCGTTGACGGTTCGGGGATGGGGGGTGGGGAGGGAGTGAAACAAAATTGAATTTGCTTAATTACAAGTTGGACGATGGACAAACGCACGTTACGTCGATTGGAGACGTTTCTCACCGGACCTGGTGACGTCTTTTCGCTTGCGTTATATACATGAAAATATCGTCGCGACGCGCTGGCTTCGTGTCCCTCGTATTAGCTTAATCGTTAATAGGACCTAAAATGTGACCGAGAGAGAATTCACGAGGGAACGCGCGTGGTCAAGGTACTTTCGATTAGTTTCATCCTTAACCTAATAACGTTTCCGCTGACTTCTTAATTTTACTCGCTTAATGTTACACCCGCCCCAGCGTCCAAATAATTCGACGTAATCTCCTATCATCGTTTCGACAAAAATTCGTTACTATCTACCGTTTCGTTGGCTCCGACGGAACAATTCCTCCTGGTCATTGAAAGTTCGTGCTGGACCGAACCCGACGCAAAAGTCCGCGAGGGACTCGAAATCATCGAACTCCCCGTCTTTCAGAGATCTATTTCCTCCATTTTGTGGCTAGTGCTCTGGAGTCTCGGCTTAAGAAACATCATAACTCCTCCAGAAATAAGCGATCGCCCGGTTTCATTCGCGAACAAACTTCGTTTAAGAATAGACACGACGTCTTTTGGCGATTTTGACGCACCCGGTACACACGTCGTATCAAATACCCTGAATCCAAAATGGCCACCAACGCGATGGACGTCGAGATGCGGAGGACTTCGTCCACGATACTCTTAAACGAAAACTAAACGAACCGTTTAACAATTTGACTGTCTTTGGGTGACACGTACATTGCAAAGAAGCTAAATCATTTAAATATCTTTTCAAAATTTTCACCAAAAATTAATAACGATGTAGAATTTCAAACAAGACCAACAGCCTCTATTAACTGAACTCATACAGTGACTCGCACATTCGTTCATAGCTTTTGAAATAACAATTAGGTGTCGAAACTTTTATGCAATTTCTATTTATACAGGGTGTCCCACCTAATGCGAACACCTTGAATATTCTACGTGCTTTTGAAGATATAAAAAAATGTGAGGGGAAAGTATTATTCGGTTAGAAGGAGCAAATACTATGACAGGCAACAATTTTTCGAAATTTCAAGGTCGTCGATATTTTTTTAAGTGATCGTTGAGATCAAGATCAATCCAACGACTGATAACAGTGTAACCTTCATGTGACCTTGGGTACGAAAAATCCACAATTGTGTGAGAGTAGATTTAAGTAACAAAATAATTACAATAGAGGGATTAGTGCAAAAATCTATCGAAGTTGATAGACAAAAAAAAATAAATGCAAGTGAGATACTAAACGTACAAACGTTAAGTGGGACACTCTGTATATTCTCCTTATAATAACTTCTCTAATAAATTTGTCTTAACTTTGAAATAAAATTCGCACCCTGATAAATAATTTGGTCAACCAAAGTTGACAGTCTTACCTGAACAAACTTCAAAATCACTGTATATTTTCGACGATTTATGAGTTAACAAACAAAATAAAGTCCATCTCGCTACGTATGATCTTTTTCACTGTACCAGTCAACGAGTTAAACAAACAAAAATGTACTTATCTGTCAATGACAAACAGAACCGTGTCTCGACATCCACCACAAGCCCCCGACGATATCGCTACGCCCTCGAGAGCCGAAAAGTGTACCGTCCGTGAGCGGCATCGGCCAGATGTTATCTGTGATAACCGTATCCAGGACTGGTGAAAACTGTGGCCCTCAGCGTGATGGAGGAGACCAAAGACAGAGGACGGTCCCTCGACACGCAACTCTTCAGGCAGGTCTTACGTGGGCCGTGTCTCCAGAATTTATGCAACACCAGGGAGGCCTTTGTATGATAAGATCGACCCCTGGCTAGGGACTCTCGAGGACACAGCGTGCACTTCAACAGCTTTCGTCCAGCCAATCGACGTCGGTACCTCATCTTCAGCTCGTCCAAACCGATGGTCTTCTTGGCCGACCTCGACAGATCCTCCTGGAACATCTCCTGGTACCTCTGCTCGAATATCATATCCTCTTCCTCGAATTCCTGATTCCCGATCACTTTTCTGGGTGTGCTCTGCTTCCTGGATCGTCTTACATATGGCTTCCTCTCGATCCAAGGACACTCCCACGAACACTCCCAAGCGCACTCGTCGGGAGACTCCCAGGCTGATGGATCGTCAGGAACCAATTGGTTGCTGTACGCAAAATCACGGTTAAGTACGGTAACGGTGGTAACCGCGGCTGATCCACCGCTGCGATCGTAAACTAAACGGTCGTTATCACGTGGTTGGTCGCGATCGGTGACGAAATCGTCACTGGAACGACGACCAGATCCTTCAGTATCGTCGAGGACCGTTCTTTTGTACCCCTCGACTGTCACGTGATCCCGACGATCACCGCTAGACCACCTCCTCTCATCCTCCTCCTCCTCCTCCAATGATGGGGACGCCATTGTCGCTGCAGTTGCAGGGGAGTTTACCATCTCGTGGCTGCAACCACCGCGGCACTGTTCCATAAGTTACGTTCGCGTCATTTTTCTACCAATGCACACGAGCGACCCGCCCGACGCGGGACGCCACCCGAGGATAGACGAAACACGATAGTGGTGGTGTACAAACACAAAAAGCGGAGAACTGTTCGGGGGAAGGGGCGGTTTTTCTCGCCTGGTCGGCGAACACCGCCGCAACGACACGACGAAAGCAAAGAGAAAAAAAACGAAGCGTGCGATACGCGAAACGGGAAGGTATAACCAAAAAATGACGCTGCAACGTAACAGAAAATTGGAGGGGAGGACTCGGAGGGTGGGGGTTGTTGCGGGACGTCGAACGACTGGTCGCAAGGGTTTTTATTTTGGTTCATTTTTCTTAGGTGTACGGGTGGTAAGTAGTCCACTGTTTTTTGTGAGATTTTTCTGTTTGTTTCGAAATAGCTCGAAACCCAGTGCTATTTAAACAAAGGATCGGAATGGTATGTGGAATTTATGTTGTAATTCCAGAATACTGGAACCATAGGGGATTACTTATTCGTACACCTGATAAATTCATTTAGAATTGTGCTTTGAATGTATTGTTGTTGGAATAATCTGAAGAAAAGAGTTCTTGAGAAACTCGGGGTTGTCGATTTGGTTTGCGACCTGTCGCTGGCCAACGTCCGACCCAGCGAGGTGAACGAACGTGGTAGCCAAAAGAAAGTTTACAGCGAAAATCTGGTATCGTAAGGCTGAGTATTATTCAGCAAAAAAATGATACGTATTAACAGGTAATGTATCTGAACAGTACCTTAACTACCGATACAATGGTTGGTATATGAATTTGAGGAAAACAAAGACGGAGGTAGAATTTTGTTTTCGATAATAATAATAATCGTAAAATTGTGGAATTTGTAAAGTTATAGATACGTTGATACTGAATGAATAAATAATCAAAAAACAATTTTACAACTATTATTATCAAAAACGGAATACTAACTTCGTCTTTGTTATCCTCAATTTCATTTACGAAGGAATATATTTTCGATGAAAATCAGTTTCAAGATCCTCTACAGGAAATTGAATAATAACAGGAACTGTTACAGAAAATTCGAAACTTCAATCTTTCTTTCGGCCACTACATTCGACAAACAAAAATATGTTCAAAAGAAGCAAAGGAGTCACACTCGCAACTTATATCTGTCCTTAGTAATGATAAACAAATTCAATCCACTACCAAAGTCTCGTAAAATCTGTGAAATCAATTTCTACTGTTAATTTTAAAAATTCCGTAAAAACAATATGGAAGGTCTAAGTGAAACGTAAGATGATTCGACGCGACTGCGGATGTATAAGTTGCAGGGTGGACAAAACAAAAGCAGGATAAATAGCACGGAGGACAGGAGAGACCAGGCTGCTTACCCGAGTATCGTTGTCGGTGGTATCACAGTGGTAGCAGATGTGATGGCGGGCGCAGGGGCTGGAAAAACTGGCGGACCAGGTGGTGGTCGACCTCCTCCCACGGGGCTGTAAATTCAATAATTAACGATGAAGGTCCTCCGTTCACTAACGATGAGCTACGATACTACAGTGATTCACAATTTTACGGACAGTGGTCGCTAATTGGAAGGGAAAGGCGCATTAATAAATCAAGAGGATAGCGTTGGAGCTAGGTAGATAATTATAGTAGCCTTTCACTCGTATTTAATTCTGTAAGAACTTAAATTTTAACTTCTGTAATAAGTGAAACGTCAACTTTTGTAATAAATTTAACGTCAGTTGACGTTTAATGTCAGTATAATACAGTCGTGTTTGTTGTTGCCCCGTCCAATTGTCATTATAAACAATCAAATTCCTGCCATTTTAAAAATATTATAATTAATGAACGACATGGATTTATGGCCGAAGGCTCGATTTCAACAAATTCATCAATTCATCACTAGACTGGGAATGTTTATCCATTTACAGCATCCCTTAGCTTGAAGAATGCAATAAGACAAAGGTTCTAATAAATTTTAATACTATTTACACGTTATTATTAATCTAGTAAAGCTTACAATACAGAATTAAAAATTTGCTCCATTTGAATTTTCAGATATTCCTACCATAAATTGTAAACTTCCATAAACTTTCGCAGTCTATTCGTCACGATCACATTTAAACAGCAACAGAAACTCGATTCCATTCACACCGATTTAAAAAACCCCGTTTGACCCAGTGAACCACAGTATCCTTATTCATAAACTACAAAAACAATCGAACTCTATACATATATAAAAATCAACCCCATCCAAACTCCCGCCTAATAGTCCCCCCGTAAACTCCTCGAAAATCGTCATCGATTTTCCCAACACACATTTCGATCCAACGAACACGATGAACCTCGTGACACATTCGCTGGTAAATTTGTCCGGCAGAAATAATTCCGTTTAAAGGGGGATTAGGGGGTGGGCCTCGGGCCGCGGGCAGGGATGGGATTGCCGACTAACGAGAAAGAGAAACACGTGCGTTTCGACGCGACGTCCGTGTGCCCGATTCAAGTTTAAATCCGACGACCGCTCGTTACACGTGTTTGCTCTCGACGGCGGACGCGTCCGAAAAAAAAAAAAAAGTAACGACCACGGGATTAGTCGTGTGATCGACTTCCAATTAAATCGTTTTAATGAATTTCCACGGGCGACCGTACCCACGGTCTCCTCCCTGGGGGCGACGTTGTTCAAACTGCCGTCACAGCCAGCAGGGGAGGCAAACTGCTAAACTAAACACACACCGGCTGACTCTCTCTCGATCGACGAGATTTACGGCACACGAGGCGAACGAAGCCGTTCCCCGATCTAACTTCAATTAACGTGGAGAAAAATGCTGCCCAGTCGAACGAATTCTATGATGGTTCACCGACGAATTTTGCTTCCCTGTCGGTCCTCCGATCGGAGTTTTCGGACGATCGGAGCCAGCTGGATGATGGATCAGAGCTGACGCCGTGGTTTAATCGGGTGGATTTTCTGCGGACTTTTCCGAGAACGATCGATAAATGGTAGCGGAGAACGTAAATTTGTGGAATAATTGTAGTTACATGGATTTTGACGGTGATTCCGGTGGGATGGAAGATTTTTGGTACCGTAAGTTAGGGTTACTTTGACTCAGGTGAATATGTACCTATGTCAGAAAATGATCATTTTCGAAATTGCAACTATTTTCCAGATTTTTGTATTTGGAATTCCTTTTCACGGAAAAATCAAATTAGTTTACATCATTTTCAGGGCTGCAAAATCGAAAGTGATCATTTTTCTGACTAGGTACAAAAAGTTACTCTAACTGAGTCAAAGTTACCCCAACTTACGATGGTAGATTTCTATGTTTAGTTGGAGTTAAGCTTTTCTTGTCTGTTGGAGGAATTATGATTTTGTCTTGATGACAAAAGAACGGTAGAATTATTACGAAAGAAGCTACAGACAGTTGCTGTTTAACACGGTCGCTATCTATATAGTTTCGAAAGTCTTCGTCACAGACCACTCTATAGATCTCCATCATTCTCCTCAGTGGAATGATCTTACTGCGTAGGTACGTTTCTGACAAAAAGAATATTCCTACACCACAATAATAATATGTAACAGACGAAACGATACCCTTGCTCTGAAATCAGTAACAAGTACAAAAATCCATATCAACAAAGAAGAATTAATAATTTCGATGATACGATTTAACAAGCATTGAAGTTTCCATTTACGATTCTACGAAGTTTCCTGTCTTCAGTTTTGGTTGTAGTATAGTCAGAAACGGATTCTCAGGTCAGAGTATAGTCAGAAACAGATTCTCAGGTGATAGTATAGTCAGAAACAGATTATCAAGTTGTATAATAGTATAGTCAGAAACGAATTCTCAGGTCGTAGTATAGTCAGAAACGAATTCTCAGATCGTAATGCAGTCAAAAACAGATTCTCAGGTGATAGTATAGTCAGAAACAGATTATCAAGTTGTATAATAGTATAGTCAGAAACGAATTCTCAGGTCGTAGTATAGTCATAAACGAATTCTCAGGTTGTAGTATAGTCAGAAACGGATTCTCAGGTTATAGTACAGTCAAAAACGGATCTCAGGTTGTAAAATAAAATGGGAAACGCGTTCTTAAAATGAGGGAAAATGACGCGTTCTTACTGCAAGGGTTGCGGATGACGATTATTCAGCTGTGGCGTGGCCTGCACCGTGGACGTTGCAGGCGCATTCGCGCTGCTAATACGATGTACGTGCAGCTGATGCATCTGCAGCTGCGCCGCATCTTCCCCTAAGAACGAGCACCTCGAGCACTGCCGCCTGTTATGCACTTTCAACACATGTGTTGCGAGACGCTCGGCTCGCGCCGCTTTGTATTCGCACAGAGTGCATGCGAATGGCTTCAGATGAGTGTTCAGATGCCGTTTCAGGCACCAGTTGTCTACGCCGCTCCAGGAACAGTAGCAGCAACTGTACCTGAAAATAGGAAACTTGTTAATATAAGGTATAGTAGCTTGACTTTATTGAATTTCTAATGATTCTGAACATTTTTATGCATGTTCTATATATCTGAAAATATAATATATATTGTCTCCAGAATTTTCTGCACGCTAATTTTTAAGAAATAAATTTTTTTAATTTTGTTAATTTATCTTTTTTAAAATTAATTTATTTCTTATTTGTATAAATATATGTTATTTACACATATGTATTTGTATACATTTGAGAATTTATGTCATAGTTACTGCCCCAAAGTCTCTAAAAATTAGTATTTTACAAACGCCATATTGAACCTCCCATTTTACATTTTGTAATTCTAATCTGAGAATCCTAATCAGCGACCTCAGAAACCTATAGACGACTTACGATTTTAACCCTCTAATGGTAAGATCCAGGTCGCAACCGACCCAAGTTATACCTCTTGTATTATCCCCAATTTATTGTTTATTTATGTTTATTATTCTCGTACTAAGACATTATTTAATATGTAGTGGACATAAATACTTTTGTTACAATACCCAGATAGCACATTACGTTCAATGACGCCTTGAAGACGGCTTAAAAACACCTCAGACCTAAAATAGCCGTAAAATGGACATAAAAAGTCTTCAAGACATCATGCGCTATCTCAGTACGTTATATAACGTAATTATTATTCCTTATTACATAAATAAACAAAAATAAAAATTCTAAATAATAACTTTCTTTTACCCGTCTGAAAATAGCAAAAAAGAACTCCGTACGATTCGACCCCACCTTACCATCCGAGGGTTAATCTTTCGTTCACCAAAAAAACATGCCCCTGAAAGGATTAACCAGCATATACCCAAAATCTACCCATATTAAAACCGTACCTCCGTTCCTGATTCCCTTTCGAACCGCCCTTCAAATGGCTCTTACTATTACACCCGCCATTTTGGACCCTCCTTCCGGTGGTGGTGCAGTTCGTCGCGTCCGGTTGCATGATACTCGGGACGGGCATCGAGGTCGGCTGATAAATCGTGGTGGTCGTGGTGGTTCCGTTTCCAGGGATCGGCTGCAACTGGTAGGTCTTGTTATTGTTGAACGCTGATGAATAGCTCGTGTGCTGCGGTGGTTGTTGTTGTTGTTGTTGTTGTTGTTGTTGTTGGCCGTTCGTGTTTGCATTTCCGGTGCTCCCAACACCGGGTTCTTGTTTAGGCGCGATCGATCCAACCGGTCTACGTATCCTGGCCAGCTCGTAGCCGTGTTCCCGATGCATTCTGAGGAAGTGTTTCTTCACGTGATCGGCCCGGTTGAAGGGTTTGTAGCATACGTAACAGTGGAACGGCTTCTCTTCTCGATGGATGTTCTCGTGCCGCGTGTATAGATCGCGACGATCCGTCCCGTACGGACAGTACGGACAAGTGTACCTTTTCACGCTGACGGACACCGTGGCGGACGTCGGTATTGTCGTTGTGGTCTGTAAATGTATTCACTCGTTTTAGGAATAGCCTTTGCGAATCGAATGTTCTGGGTTCGATTTAACCACCGACGAGGTATAGGACTTGTCCTCATGGGTCTTGGGGCTCACCTAATCTGTAGTATCGACACTTTAAAATGTATGTGATTTTAGTGATATTTACATTATAAGAACGGTGAATCTACGTTATGAAAATGGCGGCTAGTGATACTACAATGGTAATGGGGCGTCGATGCCCCAGAAAGACTGCAAAAATACGTTGGATGGTAGGTTTATTTGTATACCTCGTCGATGGTTTCAATGAATTAATTTTTCAGTTGTCTTAAAATAGCTCAGGACCAGAAGGAATTGAGCTGTTTCAAGGTGAGTTCGAATATTCTTAACGATTTATTCCTCTAGAATTTAAAGACTAGAGCAACTAAGCCTTGCCATGAAAAATTGTTTCAAGAAATTGTTCGATAGATATTAGATCGTTAATTAAATTTCACTGACCTCTGGTAAGTAATGCTAGGGGGTAATTTTAAGTGTCTAATTTTCTTCATCCAGGAAAACGTAAAAATAAAGGGTCACCATAACAAAATGACCTTCAAACGACCTTGACATCACACACAGAATTGAATATTTCACGCAGTAAAATGATCGTAAGAGTATCGGCAAAAGCGTACCTGGTGCAGATGTTGCGGCGCAGGGGAGGAAGGTAGTTCCTGCAGCAGAAAGGTGGACGTGACCGGCAATAAGGCGGCAGGTATCGTTTGTGTTTCCTGGGTCCGTCTAGACGGCGGCGCTACACGTTCCGCCCGTTCCCGTAGCCTCTCCAGGTAAGGGATCACGTCCTCGATCTTCAGATCCGACTGCAGGTAATCCTTGCGGGGGGAATGGGGCCTGTTCCTGCTGTCGTCTGCGAGGATCCTCGAGGAATGAAGCTCCATAAAATGTTCGGCCACGTCTCTGGGTCCGCCCCCCATCACCTCGCCTGTCGGACACAATGGGATTGTCAATTTTCCCCGAAAACGCACGTGTGCGGTGCCCCCTTAATTCCCTTCCCGCCAAATTTAAATTCCTTTTTCCTTTAAATCACTTTTTCAAGGTATACTTTCATTTTTTTAATAGCTTTTAGGACACAAACAACTGACTATAGTGGAAGATTATTTCTACTGACTACTGATTCGATCAGAAAAATTTGTGAGGATTTCGGAGGGTATATTTTCGAATCTCTTATTAGATGTTTAGAATAACTGGAGTAAATTTCAAAATGTTCACCTGTTTTATGAATATCTGTGTTGTCTATGATCTTTAATTAGGATGTCTGTTAGCCTGTCGACAGTATCTGTGCACTTAATCGAACCACTCGTTTAGGAACATTTCCAGGTTATACAAGCCCGTACCCCATCAATTCCGTATATCGATGCAGTTCGGCCCGCGTAATCGGGTGAAATTCACCGTGTGACGGAACGAAAGGATCGCTTTAACAGCCGTCAAGAGTCGTTTGAACGTGACGCACTCGCGGCACAAAGGCCCATAATGAGCCCTGGCTTAAGGATATTTAGGGTCGGTTTGCGCACTAGAAAACACCTTCGTCGCGCGTCGCCCAGAGGACATTATACAGGGTGATTCACGCGACTTTAACAAGTCATATCTTTTTTTTCATTGAAGTTAGGAAAAAATGATTGAAGTAAAAGATGAATCGTTCAATATGAACTACATATTCACTATCATATGTTTTTCGCAGGTGCAATAATGCATGTGCATTGTGCAGTTACATTATTTTCTTAAATGGGATCGGTTCTCTTTTTTTGCATACAACGAATTTTCTTGTCATTCTACATAAAAAAGTATTAAAGTAACATGGTCAAAAAATAATCAAGTCGTGAGCTATTTTGAAAAATTAAAAATTAAATTCTGTAGAAGGTGTGAAAGAACAAATAAGAGTAAATATCAATGCAATAACCGAAGATCAACTTAATTCGGTTATGCAAACGATTAAAAAGCGTTTTAGGTACTATTTATCAAAGGATATGCTCAAACGCCTCTCCATTACAATTGTAAAGACATTTTTTAAAATACCTCGCGAACTAATCAGTTTTTAATCATGTTATCTTAATACTTTTTTACGTAGCATGATATTGATTTGATGTTCGCAGGAAGAATACAAGGTTTCCATTTAAAAAAAAATAATGCAACTGCACAATGCACATGCATTATTGCACTCACGGAAATATTGTGATCGTGAATATGTAGTCCACCTTGAAACATTCAATTTTCCTAACTAATACCCAAAAAAAGGTATGACTTGTTACATACAAGTGAATCACCCTGTATACATAGTTGCAGCGACAGTTTTTGTTTACAAAGCTGGGCCGGAATCTCGACGACACAGAGGCGTTGGGAAATTACTGGGGAAACGACAGCGACAATAAAACTGCCTTTTGTCCCAAAATGTACAAGCGCTGCCTGCGTTTCGTTATTGTTTACCACTTGGATTCCGTGTTAATTGGTCCGGGGGGTCTTTTCGTGTCTGCTGACCCGTTATTTCGACGGTATACCGTTCCCTATTTATGGCCCGGTCCCGTCGACTCCAACCCTCAAACGTTGTTGCAGTAATTACAACCGAGCCCCCCGTGATTCGGGGAAAATCCGTGACCGAGGCTCGAACTTGTATAATGGGTCCTCATTTCAAGATAGTAAAGCTAATTAATTGAATCGAGTGACGAATCCTGTCCTAAGTGACCTATATAATGGCGGATTTGATCGGTAAACTTTTTGAACTTGTATTGAATATTCATATTTCTGTGTATTTTACTTTACAGTGCTTATTATTTCAATTCCAAATTAGAAAAAGGTGGCTTGGAATTAGTCTAAAAAGCCTTAGGAGTGGTAGATCTAATAAGTTTGTTCGTTCTAGACAAAAAGTAGAAGATAATTACTAAGAGTTAATATTCTAAGAGAATTTATTCCTGATTACCTATTTACGTTAAACTCATAGATGTAATATTCTATTTATGTTAAAATTATGGATATTAAAAATTTTGTGGAACTTTGTATTTAACAGATTTTTATGGAGAAAATATACATACCACATTCGTAGCATCTCCACGTCGATTTTCCAGCATGGTAAGCTGCGATGCGGCTTCCATCGGTTCCTTTAAGCGGCTCCTCTTCGCACGTCCAATTGCCATCATCGCTTCCATCGGTGCCGTTTCCAGTGTCCTCGTCGTTCTTGTACGACACCGATGTCTCGAACTCGTTCTGCACGCTCGATGCTGCACCGCGGAAGAAAATTATAAAATAAGTTCAAAGAAATGCAGAAATCATCATGTAACAAGATTCATTGTTTTTTTCTAATTAGAATTTCATTTTTTCATTGCAAACTTTTAAATTGAACAGAGTGTAATATCCGAAAGAAAGTTTGACGAATGTCTTCAGAAAAGAAACATGTCAATATTTTGAATTTGTACTACTGCTTTTATGTATGTACATGGAGAAGATAAGATAAAAAAAATGTAAAGTCTTTAAATCACTCTGCAAATTTTACGATCTGGAACACGAAAATCTACAGAAATGTAATTACGTATCGTGTTTTATGAGAATCAAATGGAAGATTTGAGATTGATGCAAAATAAATAAATGATACTGGTAATATTAATATATTTTGATTACAATTGATTTCAATCCTCCAAAATGTACCCTTAATAATCATATTATTATTATTAAATATAACCTTTATCATGTAGTACAAATAATTGAAAATGCTCAGTAATTTAAACATTGAAACACTACTAATATTCCTCATGTTAAATCCCGAACATTATTTGTTAATAAAACTTTCAGGTGCACAATTAATTTTACCATGACCGAATAAAAATTCCATTTCATCCACAACTCGATAAAATGTTTAACACTAAAACTACCGACAATAAATGTACATCTATTTCAATCGATAAACATAACAAACTTCTGCAAATATACCGACACATTTATAAATTAACTCATTTCTTCATTTACATATTCCAATAAAAGTGGTAAAATATCTGAGAAAGTGCATTCTTGTAACATTTTAATTATATTAATTTTGACTGTTTGGTAATTCTAGTGTGAACAAAAGAAACAAGATATCCGTAATTCTCTTTCACTAACAAAGTCAGTCTATAAGAATTCGTGATTAGCATATATGAATAGGCGAAAGTCTACCGTAGGTATTGTTAACAAAAGAGTGCTCACTTCTGTGATCAGGATCCTCCCCATAGAGTTTCCTGGTGATTTCCTTGAACATATCCTCGTAGCAATCGAGCCTGCTGATTCCGGTGCCGCTGCCCTCCATTTTCGAAGACCCCAGCGGTCACCCTCTGTCCTTGGAACAATATACCCTCCCCGCTCGGCTACCTGGGCACGAAGATTGTAGGCTGTTAAGTCGGGTCACAACTAATAATCCCCCGAAACACACCATCCCCTCCAATCCCCCCACCTTCCATCGTTCCCATTTTCCAACGTTTCTTCCTTGACCTTAAAATTCATCGAGAACCGACTCACTCTCTTTCTCGCGATATTTCTTTTTCGCTCGTTCGAGAACGTAACCCTTTTTTTCCGGGTTAATTGGGGCTGTGAATCGATGAAAGGGGCCACACGGTAATTGGGTCGTCGAACCTTAATTAAATCCTCGAGGATCGCCACGGTTCCCTTGAATCGCCTGAAACGATTCAACTTTTCTTCCCCCGGACCCGTTTCATTTGCGTAAGTGGGCGGGATTACTCGCGGTTCGAGACGTGTTACCGTCGAGTCAGAGATGAATAAAATATTCGTCTGGTTGGAACATTTTGCTCGCGGAACGACATACATATTTGGAATTCAGATTCTCGTTAATTGGTTGTATCAATTCCGTTTCTTTCTATCGAATAAATAGAATAACTTTGTTTAGCGAAAATTGTTACGTTCAGAGATATTATTTAGGAAATGGAAAATGAATATTCATTTTTAAAAAAAGAACAAAGTATTCAAAAATCTACCGTGTTACTTGAGAAAAGAATATTTTCCGTACGATTAAATTCTTAAGAAATTATGCTCCAGAGAGTATCGCGCGTTTTTATAAGCGTCTCTTGCGTATACTTGCATTTTTCATTCTGTCAGACAATCATAAATCACGATGGAAGGACATTTAGGTGATTAAAAGTTGTTCTACTTGTTAGCACGAGTAAATGAACTGAAATTTTTACCGCGCAATGTTTTCTGGGGCGCTATTAATGCTTTTTTTTTAATAAGCGTTAAAGCAACCCGATAGAATAGGGTAGTAAATTTCATTTTAAATGAATAATAAAGTTGTACGTGTAGATACAAAATGAACGACCGTTGGAAAAATAGTATCGGTGATGAAACACATTCATCCATGTCTTGGGAAGTTCACGGAAAAGTTGAGAATGTTATATAATCAGCTGAAAAGGGATGAGTATTCCAAAGCAAACTCCTCGCCGAGTTTCCCTTCCCATCTCCTACCCACTTCATTGCTCTCTCCCCTAGCTCTTATCTTCTATATATTCAGCTGTAACCCCGCGCGGCATATACGATATATTCAACTGGAACGTCTTCTTCCCAGAACTAGTATCCCCTTTCCGAGCCAATTCACTTCGCGAATCGATTCGACCCTGGCGGGGAAAACATTAAAAATAATTCACGAACCGTGGTGAATTTCAACGGTGGGCTTACGTTCAGCGCTGTACGCACTGGGGAAAACAGTTTGTTATATAAGCCTTTGGAATATTATTAACCCTTTGACTGCGACGCACTCTGGCACGGAACCATCAATATATTCGACGCGATACGAGCATGTCAGTCGCTAAAAACAGAAACTAAATTCTATTTTAGATCAGTTTAGTAAAACAGTAAATGTGTTATAGTAAGACAAATTTTGAGTCAAAGGGTTGAAATTCATTGTATAGGCACTCTGAGGACAAACTGATACATTTAATGACACTAACCACGACTTCAAAAATTTGTACTCGCACATCTGGAAAATTATTTAAAACATAGACCACGTTGTACGTTGTTTCTCTGAAAATTCTAATCTGAGCGTTTTTAATTCTAATAAAAGCGTCCTGAACAATGTTGATGATAGACTGTGATTTAGTATCTCATAGATAGAAGTAATAGTAAAATAATAAGGAAAGTTATAAGTACACTGCGGATGTTTATGCATTTATAGCATCTTCTAACTTAGCAAATGAAATAAAGCAAGGGTTTTAAGAAAGTTTAATACAATTATTTAGAGAATTCAAAATTTAGCTCCATTTTAATTTTTAGATATCAGTATTTAAAGCTGCAAATTTGCATAAAATTTCGCGTGTTAACCATTTCCAAAATGCAATCTCATCGCGTAAAAGAGTAAAAATCATAATTACAATACAAGAATTATTGATGGCATTTTAGAGTATACATTAAGTCACCTCTAACTCAGATCAGAGAATCGTCCTATTACAAAACGACATCAGAACAATCTATTAATTCTGGAAATGGATGAAAGCAGAAAGAACGATACTCGCTTAAGTGAAGTGGATTTCTAGTTTCCAATCTAAATGGGAGGATCGGTGCAAGACAATACGGTTTCCAATCCCAGCAGAATACATTCCACGAGGGTTCTATCGTAAACTCGAGCTCGTGCATTTCTATGACAGGAATTCGCGGAGACGCGAAACTCCGTGTCGGGGGTGGAAGGAAGAAAGGGGGTTAAGGCGTTAACGAGCTCTCGCTTGGGATGGTGCGATGGGATTAGAATCAAGGTTGTTACGAAGCATTTAGGAGCCAGCGATCGACGTTACGGATCTTCAATTAGAGCCTCTCGGAAATCAAGTACACCGTGGGATGTAATTATTATGCGCGGCGGGCGAGCCTCGCGCTCGACTAGACGACCGTTTATCAGCGCTACGATAAACTCTGCGACCTCTGTAGACACCCTACAATTCGATCGAGAACTCTAATAGCGCGATGGAATTGACATGTCGAGATTCGTTTCGATCAGAGTTTGCATTCCTTCTGCAAATTGGTTTATGGAAATCGGTTTGAATAATTTTCTAAAACTTATTGGTGGAAATAGAATGCTCGAGGCAATTAGGGGATTATTCATTACAGTCACTTTGCTCGTTAATACGACGTAGATTATTGTTCAAAAGTTTCGAAGCAGTTGAGTACAATCTTAAAAAATTAATTTGCAGGTTTGTTAGCACGAAGGCTTGTACGTATACGGATAATTATTATGTATGACAAAACCGATTTAAATGTATTAAAAGAAACTTGTTCTTATGAAATTTTTGCCTCGTTTAAATAACCACCTTTATTGTAAATAACTTCCAAACAAATTCTGGGCATCCTATTTAGTAATTTTTTGAAACAATCTTCGACTAAATTTGTTCATTATGCTTCAAAATACTCCCAGAATTTTATGACAAAATAAGGAATTTTTGCGAAATGTGATTAGAAAAACGATTTTTTTCTGCAGACTGGTCAAAATATGCAATACACTTATTTACAGGCAGTTACTTTTAAAAAAATTGATAAAGTATCATTTGTTTGGCTAAAAAATAAGATTGATTTGAAAATTTTGAACGGTTAATAGCGCTCGTATTGTACGAAAAAGATATCAATTGATTTGCTATTAACAGTACTATTCCTTTAAATATCTATCTATCTGGAATCGAAAAAGAATGTATCGTTCATCGGTTACGGAAAGTATTCAAGAACCATTTTAAGGGCGGAAGGAAACGGTGAATGGTGTAGTATACTAGAAAATCACTCGAGGCGAGGCAATATCCGTTTAAAAGAAACCACGGTAATGAAGAAAGAGCCGGTAACAGTTACGGATACACTTCGAGGATCCCGAGGAACTCGATCGCCGTTAAAGTCACTTTGTAATTTACTCGAGCGTGAGCAGTCTTAATTCTTCTCGCCCCCGCCGTCCCGTCCTCCCCGACGAGACAAGAGGACGAAAAATCCCAGTTCTGATTGTGTTACAGAGCGTTAAATATTCATGAACGGAAAATCTTTTCGCCTTTGGAGCGTGGTACAGTTCAGAGGTTGACGGAAAAGGGGTATCGATTTTCACTTAAGAGCTCCGAACTGAGAACCTTGCGTTTCCTTCGCGGCGCGTATTCGATGGTATTATTCGAATTCGAGACTCGAACCTCGATAGATGAATCTCGAAACTTTATTGATAGCAACAGATAGATTGCTATATCGCTGGAGATTATCGTTATTTCCCCTCGAATGGTAAAGTGGGAGGTTTTAGGGTCGTACTTGATACGATGGAGTCGGGTCCGACCCGAACTCTTTTTTACTATTTCCAGACGGGTAAAAACAGGTATTATCTTGTACTTCTATTATATATGAACCATATATATTATTACATATTAGTTAAATAATATGTAATAATATACGCATAAAAGTTTACTAAGTAATAAGGAATACTTTAAAACGAGAATAGCAAAAAAATAATAAAAAGTAAAATGGGGACAGCACAGGAAGAATAATACCTTGAGTAGGATTGGACCTGGGCCTTACCATTAGAAGGTTAAAAATCTTGACAGTTTTCTTGGTGAATTACACCCCCATCCCCTCCTTTAATCGATCGAATTCGATCCTAGCAATTGAACATGAAAATAAAGCAATTATTCATTAAAAAAATTATTATTCTAAGGACGACATAATCCAATTAATCGTACGATTCAGAAAGAAAGGGAATATTTACTAAACACAAATCATCCCTTGCTAATGTAACGGTGTGCCCAAGCGTCGGAACACTTCGAACCCTTCAAGCAACTGCCCGGGGAGGGATGAAAAAACCGACCACATGGCTCGCTGTGTCCCAGGATTGGGATCCATCGTTTATACCCACTCGAGCTCTAACCGACTCAGCCACCCGGGCGTTCAACAGATTTCTTATACTCAACCCTAATGCTCAGCTAGCTACCGCCTTACAAAAAAGGAAAGAAGAGTCTGCACAAGCAGCATCGATCTACAAAGGTGGAGGAACTACGTTAAAACTTTGGCTGCTATTATACTATACACACCTACAGAATAAATGGTATATACTTAAAAACTTTTATTTCTTTAATAGAAATATATTTAAAAAGTTTCCAAATTTCAGAGTTGCAAGAATATTTGTTATTTCCTAGGTTGAATTTTCTGTATATTATGATGAATCAGTATTCGTTGAAACAATAAGACGCGAGTAAACTAAATTTAAAAAAAAAAAATGGAGTTGGAACATACAAGAACTCGGGCGACGAAGTACCATCAGATGTCTCGACAATCAACACGTGAAGCTCGAAAAGAACCCAA